GCCGGCGGCGTTGGTCACACTCAGTGCTGTGCCATCCGGCGGCATAGGTCACACTCAGTGCTGGGCGGCCGGCGGCGTTGGTCACACTCAGTGCTGGGCAGCTGGCACCACTGTTTGTTTCCCACTCAGTGCTGGGCAGCTGGCACCACTGTTTGTTTCCAGAACTTTTTCATCACCCCAAACAGAAACCCTGTACTCATTAAAAAATACCTCCCTTCTCCCTCCCCCTGCCCGTGGTAGCCACTCATACACTCTTTGCTTCTCTGTGTTTGCTTATTCTAGATTTAAAATAAAGAAAGAAAACTTGTTGCTGTTGAATAGATTCCAACTCATAGCAACCCTATAGGTCAGAGTAGACTGCCCCATAGGGTTTCCAAGGCTATAATCTTTACGGAGGTAAGTGCACATCTTTCTCCTGTGAGTTCAAACTGCCGACCTTTTGGTTAGTAGCCAACTGTTTAACCATTGCACCACCAGGCCTCCTTCTATTCTAGGTGCTTTATATAAATGGGGTCATACAATATTTGTCCTTTTGGATCTGGCTTCTTTTGCATCACGTAATGTTTTCAAGGTTCATCAATATCGTAGCCTGTATTAGAATGCCATTCCTTTTTATGGCAAAATGAGATTCCATTGTCCGTATATACCCCATTTTGCTTATCCATTCATCTCTCGATGGACACTTGGGTTGGTTCCACCTTTTGGCTAATGTGAATAATGCTGTAGTGAACATGGGTATACAAGTATGCGTTAGACGCCTTGCTTTCAGTTCTTTGGGGTATATAAATGTAAAGAGAATGGAGAAATGTAAGGGGGCATCTAGCCCATGCCCTGCCCATTACAGGGTCTCAGGAAATTGTTCCAGTTATTGGGAATGGGGTGGGGGTGTGTGTGCACTGTGGCATCACATAGCAGAAAGAGCACAGGCTTTGGACTCATGGTAGCCCTGGGTTTGAATCCTCTGCCACTTGTTAGCTGTGTGCCGAGGACACAATTACCTAACCTCTCTGATCCTCCTTAAAATGAGGATTAAACTCATAAGGGATTCTGTAAGAATGTAATGAAAAAGTACATAAAAATATCTCATACAGTGCCTGACATGTAGAAGGTAGAGCATACGTGGTAACTGATTGCTAAGTAGTCTGGGTTTCTTTTCTTAGGAAAACATTGCTGATGGGGAACTTATTACACAAAGTTAATTTGAAGAGGGCCGCTTCTAAACTAGTTATGTACAGTCATCAGTCTATGTGTTTTCAGTTTCAATGCTTGAAGCCTAAACCCAAGCCAGTGTTTTCCAGGGAGGGATTTGGGAGTTACAGGCATAGGATCACTCAGTAAAAGTTCTTGCCCCTTCTTCGCCCACCCCCTGCCAAGCTCCTGAGTCAGATGGAGTAGAGGCTGGATCTACATTTTTACAAACACTTCCAAGGTGTTTATTACACTGACGTTTGAGAGCCCAGGGTCTAATCCATAGCATTTGTTTGAAGTATTTGAATATGTATATAGTACCTTAAGGAGTGCCTGGGTGGTGCAAACAGTTGACACACTCGGCTGCTAACTGAAAGGTTCGAAGTTCGAGTCTACGCCGGGGCACCTCAGAGAAAAGGGCTGGTGATCTACTTCTGAAAAATCAGTCACTGAAAATCCCACAGACCCCAGTTCCACTCTGACACATATGGGGTTGCCATGAGTCAGAATCAACTGCACGGCAACTAGGGTGTGTGTGTGTGTGTGTGTGTGTGTGTGTGTCTAGTACTTTGAAAGAAGAAAGAATAACTCACTTCATTTCAGATAAGAAGATTAGAATGCTGGACTTTTAAAATAGACTCGGAGAGATTTTTTGTTTCCCAAAGGCTACAACTCCAAAAATAATAAATGTTTGCTTAAAATTCTTTTTAGTTATTGCGAAACCAGAGGTTCCCTGCATCCTATCATCACGCAGTGGAAACTGTCGTTAATATGCTGATGCCACACATCACTCAGAAGTTCAGAGATAACCCAGAGGCATCCAAGAACGCAAATCATAGCCTTGCTGTTTTCATCAAGGTGAGTCTGTGCAGTGATGATGTCACTGAAATGACTAAAAGTGCGTTTAAGTAGCTCCCTAGCAGAGTGACGAGTATACAGTAGGTGTTCAGTCAGTGTCAGCTGTACAGCAGAGTGACGAGTGTACAGTAGGTGTTCAGTCGGCGTCGGCTGTACAGCAGAGTGACGAGTGTACAGTAGGTGTTCAGTCGGCGTCGGCTGTACAGCAGTGACTAGTATACAGTAGGTGTTTAGTCAATGTTGATTATATGTTTTCATGCTAAAGGATAAACTTATTAGCAATAAACATTGATTTGAACCCAACTTTCCAGAAAGGCTCGGGCCTGAAATACTTATCTTTGTGGGTTTTTTCCTCCACAGAGATGTTTCACCTTTATGGACAGGGGCTTTGTTTTTAAGCAGATCAACAATTACATCAGCTGCTTTGCTCCTGGAGATCCAAAGGTAGTATGGACATTATGCACTCTTCTTTTCTCCCTCTGATCACCCCTGGAAATCCACCTGTTTCTCTGGGTTCAGTCTGGATATTCTTTCAGTCCTGGAGGCACAACTCACTCCCCTCTCTGGGTGATACTGGCATTTGCGTTTCTACTAGTGTGAGATATTAAACCAGTTGGTATGGAGTCAGTGCCAACTCGTGGTGACCCCGCGTGTGTCATAGGAGAACCATGCTTCTTAGGGTTTTCAGTGACTGGTTTTTCAGATGTAGAACGCCACTTTCTAAGCAGCCTTTCGGTTAACAGCCAAGTGCTTGGTGAGCAACCATTTGCACCACCCAGGGACTCCAGTGTGAGATATTAGGGACACGCTAATCCCCGATGAGAACTGAATTTACCTGAAATGACTTCTCAGTGGCAAAACTAAAAGTATAGCTGTTGTGACTCAGTTTATTTAACAAGATTAACAAATAACCATGTAGCTTTTCTCTGGTAGAAATATCTCATTCTGCCTTTTCTCTTGGTTGTGTGTTGTTGTTTTTTTTTTTTTAACTTCTGCCTAATTAATTTTCTTATTGTATTGATTCTCTGTCTATAATTATAAGCTGTCTGAAATCATTTACTGAAGTTGGAAGAGCATAAATAATAAATACGCTAAGAGTCAGTAGAAGACATTGTTTAATAAAATGTGCTCTCAGCTTTCAAACAAATTCCTCCAGCCATCCTAAAATCACTAAAATGGAATAGAGAATGAAGTTCCAAGGGGTCAATGAACTAAAGACGGGGCGTGTTGATATTCCTAATAGGCTTTTTAGGGTGCTGAATAAGATAACCAGTGAGATGTTTAATTTATGACTACACTTTTTTTTTCCTGCAGACCCTTTTTGAATACAAATTTGAATTTCTCCGTGTGGTCTGCAATCATGAACATTATATTCCTTTGAATTTACCGATGCCGTTTGGAAAAGGCCGGATTCAAAGATATCAAGGTAATCTATCTTTCTTTATCTTAATCTTAATCTTTTCACAGAGAGAGCCACTTATATTTTATGAGAAAAGAGAATTGATCCAAACATGATATTAGAATTTTTAAAATTTTTTCATGAATTAAAAATGTTTCCTATTACATTTCCATTTTAAATGGTATTGATGAAAATGCTGTGTGGAGAACTTAACTTTTCAGCAAATTTATCAGACTACAGATTATGCTAGTATGACTTTTCATTGAAAAATTCCTTTGCTTAAACAATAGAAATCCATTTTACTTACTGTAGTTTATTTTTATTTGTTCCACTTTTTTTTTTCTTCTTATAAATTAGCTTTTCTTTCACCAACTGTGGAGTCAAATGACACTCCTGTAGGTAGGTGTGGGCTGGGATGCCGGCTTTCTTGCATTTTCCTCCTTTAAAAAGAATGCAAGTGGTTGCTGCGATGCTTATGTGCGCTGCTCACTTAGGCGTTCCCCAGATCCTTGGATCAGCATCTGCACTCACAATAAACCAGTGCATTTGTTTCCCCTGTAGCTAAGACGTGGCTCTGCCACCCAGGGAGGCATCTGGTCTGTTTTTCCTGGGGTCACCAGGTCCTCTAGAATGTTTCTTTGAAAAGGGAAAGAAACAAAAAGCCCTGCTTCATCCCCAAAATTCATTATTCCCCCATTTTCATAGCCCTTGTCCATAGTGGTGGCAGAAACCTAAATCACAAGCAGCACAGCTTTTTCATAGGCTTTTTATGTTTGCATGTTGAGTCCTTAAAGTGTTCTGTATCCTCTTTTTTAAGTTTGGGCTCATAGAGATTTCTTCGCCTTCACTTGTTAGTCTACAGGTCTGTCAAGTAATATTTATTGAATTTAGTGCCCTGAATGTGCTCAAGGAGAGAAAAACTGGGGAGGGTGCCACGCAACTATTGAAAACTCCTAAATCAACCGCCTGTGAAGTTCAGAGAAACGCACAAAACTCAGAGACATATTTATCTTCCCCCAAAGCAGACTGCCCCTCCTTTTGAGGAGAGAGAGGGAAATGAGACCCTGGCGTTGGCATTTGTGTGTTCCACAAACACCTACCCAGCACCCACTGTGTATCAGGAACTGCCCTAGCCTCCGCGGTCCTGTCTTGGATGGACATCCCTCGCTGTTTTGCAGAAGGAAAATACAGAGCATGTTAGATAGTTATAGGTGCTGAGTAAGGCGATATGAGAAGGGCGGGTACGGGCCAACATTTGAAGTTGGCAGGCAGGGAAAGCTTCACCAAGAAGGCGGCTTTGGAAGAATAGTCTAAAGAAAGTGAGGTAGAGTCCAGCACAACTAGATGGTGCCCGGCTACCACCACGGCCTCCACGAGGTCGAGTCCAGCACAGCTAGATGGTGCCCGGCTACCACCACGGCCTCCACCAGACCGAGCCCAGCACAGCTAGATGGTGCCCGGTTACCACCACGGCCTCCACCAGACCGAGCCCAGCACAGCTAGATGGTGCCCGGCTACCACCACGGCCTCCACCCGACTGAGCCCAGCACAGCTAGATGGTGCCTGGCTACCACCACTGACTGTTCTGAGGTCACAACAGAGGGTCCTGGACAGAGCTGAAGAAAAATGTAGAACAAAACTCTAACTCACAAAAAAAGACCAGACTTACTGGCCTGACAGAGACTGGAGAAACCCCGAGAGTATGGCCCCCGGACACCCTTACAGCTCAGTAATGAAGTCACTCCAGAGGTTCACCCTTCAGCCAAAGATTAGACAGCCCCATAAAACAAAACAAGACTAATGGGGCACACCAGCCCAGGGATAAGGACTACTTCTTGTAGGCAGGCGGGGACAGGAAAGCTGGTAATAGGGAACCCAAGGTCGAGAAGGGAGAGTGTTGACATGTCATGGGTTTGTTAACCAATGTCATAAAACAATATGTGTACTAACTGTTTAATGAGAAACTATTTGTTCTGTAAACCTTCACCTAAGGTACAATTAAAAACTTTTTTTTTTTTGAAAAAGACAGTGAGGGATTGATGGACCTTTGTCTGTGTCTGAGGAGAAAGTGTTCTGGGCTGGGGAACAGCGAGGCATTTAGAGGCCTTGGCTCCAGCTCCAACCTGTCTCTCTGGTCTCCCTCCCCACTGCTCCCCATGTTTCTGACACACCTGCTTCCTCCAGCTCCTCAGATATGTTGCGGAGGCAGACCCAGGCCCACCTGTGACCCGCCTCAACCTTAAATAGCCACCTCCCTGCAGGACCCTCGTCTTCCTTCCCAGCCAGTCACTCAGCACCTCCTAGGTTGGGCTCCCTCTCCTCAGACCCTGACTGGAGTTACTTGCTCTTTCTCCCTTCCTTCCTCATCTGCACCCTGTATCCCCTAGCCTCACCTACTCCTGCCCCTCACAGTGAGTAACTGGCCCACCCATGTTTGGGAACTGTGGCTTCCTCTTTCACCCGGCAGGTGCAGGGAGCACTGCTTCACCTGAGTGGCTGCTCACTGAGCGTGTTAATGCCCGTTCTGCCCCCCGACCCAGCAAGGCCCAGTGATTTATCCTGTAGCAAAGCGTGAAATGGAAACTCTTCCGATGCCCGCAGACTCTGCAGCCAGTTTATACAACCTCTTAGGAACTCTCCGGGGTATTTGATGGCAGGAGAGGCTGCCCTGTGCAAGTGGGTATGGGTTCTGCACTGATAGGAGCAACCTAGTTGCCGTTGAGTAGATTCTGACTCATGGCAACCCTACGTGTGTCAGAACAAAACTGTGCTCCATAGGGTTTTCAGTGGCTGATTCTTCAAAAGTAGATCACCAGACCTTTCTTCAGAGGTGCCTCTGGGTGGATTCGAACCTCCAACATTTTGGTTAGCAGCTGAGCAGGTTAGCCATTATACCACCCAGGGACTCCATACTGATAAGAATAAATGTTATTTTTAAGCATTCTTCTTCCTCTCTCCCTTCTTACCTGCTTCTCTACCTGTATATCTCTCATGCACACACACGTGTGCAAGTAAACTCATAAGTAGTTTCTTCTGAAGGGTTTATTTGAATTCAAGCTCTGAACTATATATGGAAGAACTAGGCTTAATAATCATAAAGCGTGACCATGACCGTTCTGGAAAACGAACACT